CCCCATATGACCACACGACCCCCCCTCACTCTTTCTCTCATTTTTGTTTCATTTGCTACTCACTACCTAAAAAACCCTAAAGACACCCCATTTCTTTCTCCTAGCCGCCGGACCCATGCACCCCCCTCTCTTCATCTTCTTCGTTCATCCCCCCTACGAAACCCCACAGCCCCCCTCCGCTCACCACTGTCCAGATCCCCCAGCCCCCATAGGTTTTCATCGTCTTCTTCGTTGAAACAATAGAAGAAAACCCTAGGAGCCTGAAGATGAAGCAGCGCCGCTAACACCCAAGAACACCCCATCGTTTTGCTTCTTCAACCAAACGGTCACCCTCTTCTCTCATCTTTGCCACCCTCAACAATATAACACACATACACAACAAGAAAAAGAAGGAAGCTGTGCAACAACATTACAACAGAAAAACGCAGCCATCGTTTCATTTTTCTGCCGTCCAAAGCAGCCATGAGAGCTACTCTTTTCCTTCCATGAACACCACCAGAAAACCTCTATTAACGTCGCCACATGAAGCCCGAAACCAGCTGAAAAACCAACCGCGAAGTTAGTCGAAAACTAGCTTTCAAACCTCCAAAAGACACAGCTGAAAACTCCATGGAAACAGTTCAAAACCCAGCGAAAATCAGTCCAATACAACACCTGAAAATGGCCTATCCATTAATAAAATCATAGAACAGAGCAAGGTTTTGGGGTCGTCGTTTGTCGCTCTGATTTGTCGCCGATTTGAGGTTCCATTTCCGTCGAGGTCTTGTTCGCGATCTGGTCGCTTGTGAATTTCAAAGCAGTCCAAGCGTTAAAGTTTCATATTCAACTTCCAAGGTCCACTTCTCATCTTGTTTGATTAATGATATGAGTCGTTTCTCTTGTTATTTTGGTGTTCATTGGCATTCATTTATATTTTTGAATAGTTTGAGATTCTCGTTTTGATGATCGATTTAAGTTTTTTTTTGGATATCAAATTGCTTATCTTATTAAGAGTTACATAGTATTAGTTGTGCTGGCTGTGAGAACTCTACATCAAGAAAATAGAACCATTCACTATTTCTACGTAAAAATTGATTTCTTGCAAAGTAATACATATAAGTCTTTTACAAACCAATCTCTCATGATTGCTGGAACTTGATTTTGATGAATTGTATCAAATATAATAAGTAGTTCAAATATTTGTGATGATGTATATGGCTCTTAGTTGTTATTCAATTGAGAGCTATTATAGTTGTACCATCCAATGGGTGTATAATCTGATGAGAATGTACAATTGTAGCATGTTTTAGGTGCATTAATTAATGAATCATCATATCTACGGGTACGGCTCCCTGACGTAGTTGTGATGCTTAATTTCTAAAACCCGGGGGTATTTCATGTGGCCCAGTTCTAATTTCCAACAAGATTAAATAGAACGTGTCGTGAACCACGGGTGCATTTCATGTGCCATGGCTTGCGATATGTTTTATATAACCTTGAATTAATTCTTTAAATAATTAAAAGCGATTTTTAAAGGTTAAAGGTTAAAAGTGCACATAGGTCTAAAAGTGTTTTAAAATCAGATAATTAGGCCAATAATAATAGTTGAGCGACCGTGCTATAGCCACGAAACCCGGGAATGCCTAACACCTTCTCTTGGGTTAACAGAATTCCTTACCCGAATTTCTGTGTTCGCGGACTATAGAACAGAGTCAATCTTTCCTCGATTCAGGATTCCAAACCGGTGACTTGGGACACCATAAATTATCCCAAGTGGTGACTCTGAATAAATAAATAATCTTGTTTCGATTGTCACTTAAATTGGACAAAACTCCCTTATACCCTTCCGGGGGGTAGTAAAAAGGAGGTGTGACAGTCTCCAACAGGGAAATCAAAAGTATATTGTCAAAGACGGTCAATACTAATAGGACTGATTGGTCGAAGAAGTTGGATGACGCTCTATGGGCTTGTTAGACGGCTTACAAACTCCGATTGGTATGTCTCCGTATCGGTTGGTGTTTGGGAAAGCTTGCCATCTTCCGGTTGAGTTAGAGCACAAGGCCATGTGGGCTTTGAGGAAGTTGAATCTTGAATGGGATGTTGCAGCCAATCTTCGTGTAGAGCAGCTCAATAAACTTGATGAATTTAGATTCCATGTCTACTTTGGTTCGTCCTTGTATAAGGACAAGATGAAGTACCTTCATGATAAATATGCTCGTGGAAAGGAGTTCAAAGTAGGTGATTGGTTCTCTTGTTCAACTCTCGGTTACGTCTATTTCCGGGAAAGCTTAAATCAAAATGGAGTGGGTCATTTGAAGTTGTGTTTGTAACCCCTTTTGGTGCTCTTGATTTGAAAAATAAAAATTGGTGAAGTCTTTAGAGTTAACGGGCACCGGGGCAAGCATTATCTTGGGAAAATTGATGACAGCCATGTGGTGGCACTTCATTTCAAATGATGTGATGGTAACCTACGTCGTGCCGCGACGTTAAATCAGGCGTTTCTTGGGAGGCAACCCATGTGTTTTTCTTCTTGATTTCTTTGATTTTCTTGAAGTATAGGATTGATTTTTGAGTTAACTGGTTGTGAGATGTTACAGGGTTGTGTTGATGCAGTGCAAGACATAGTGGAAAAAATGCACAGGTCTCTGAAGTTGCCAGTGCGGCCGCAGTACATTTTGTGCGGACCGCAATGGTGTGGGTAAAATGAAGCTTCTCTGAAGTTTGCCACCGCGGCCGCACTACATTTTGTGCGGTCCGCGGTGAACCTCTGCGGCCGCAGTCCATTTTGTGCGGACCTCAAAGTGTTGCCTTCTCAAACTTGAATAAAACAGTTCAATATAGACCGCGGTCCATTTTGTGCGGTCTGCACTGGTAGGTGAGACTGGGCCCCAGGGGCTTTTCTATAAATAGACCTTAAGGGTCTCCTATTACCCTTTTCAAAATTTTCAAAATTTTAACTCGCAGAGCATACTAATATTGTTCTTCCCTTGCATTTGATCGTAATTACTTGCTTGGCATTGATTAGTTTCACTTCATCTCATAATCTGGTAACAAAATCTTCCTTTTCCTTGTTTAATTTTGTAATTTTGTTTAATTTTTGTTTTTCTGAGCTTCTGTTCTTCTTCCTCCCGTATTTATTTCAATTGCCTAGGCTAAAGTAGAGGTAAATTTTGAATTCATGAGGACTTTGTTAGTTTAATGGACCAAGAAATGACTTAGGGGCACTCATTAGGTGAAAATTTGGACTTAAAAGCAAAAATCCCATGAACCCTAACTCAGTGCCAAAATTGGGCACTTAGTGCGGACCGCGGTCGCTTTTGTGTGGTCCGCGGTGCCCCAGTGCATTCCGCAGTTCCATTTTGTGTGGACCGCACTGATGAACTTCTGGAAAGATAAACCTTGGGCAGTGCGGCCGCACTACATTTTGTGTGAACCACACTGGTCCTTGTGCAACCGCACTACCATTTTGTGCGGTCCGCACTGGTTAGATATAGAGGATGGGTAGTCTGAACCCTACCATTTTGTGCGGACCACCCTACCATTTTGTGCGGACCGCACTGGCCCCTGTGTGGCCACACTCCATTTTATGCGGTCTGCACTAGGGACTTCTGCAACTATGTTCCCATGTTCTGCAACACTGAATTTTCACTGTTTCTCTAATGCTGCAACTGATACTAACAATGCCATGTGATTGTGATTGCAGACAATGGTTAAACAATTAGGGAAAGGCTCAAAACAACCCGACAGAGGTGAATCCTCCCGGGGGAAAGGGCAAGAAGATGATTAGATTCACTCCCCAAGTTAGACAAAGCATAAAACAGATGAGGAAGGCAATAAAAGCAGCTGACAAAGCCAGTGATCAGTCGGGGAGTGAGTATGTGCATCCCAGGACATTTCTTCGGACTCCGTGCCAGAATATGTTGAAGATTGGCCGGGAAGATTCAAACTGACAAATACTACTCCTCCACCATCACCCACTGCCCAAGCACCAGCACATGTTTCTACTGAGTCATCTAAGGGCTCAACAGCCGGTAGTAGTGATTACTCTACCTCCCCCGCAGCTTTATTATCCGGGGAGGGTGCATACGAAGGTGAGGAGGAAGTAGAGGGAGATGAGGAGGTAGCTGAAGGTGGTGAGCCTCAGGTGAGAGGTGTTGCTAGAACTAGGAAGCCCGAAGCTTGGGAGGGTAGGTTTGTAAGTGAAGTGGCGTACCATAAGTTTAGTGAGTAGTGACCGGTGAGAAAACTGATCCCGGAGAGGAGCTTCATAGATAGAGACCTATTACCCCACAATCCCGACGTGCAAAGACAGTTTAGAACTAGAGTGGGCTGGGAGCATTTCATGGATGACTGTGTAGACGCCAATGAACACTTGGTCAAGGAGTTTTATTGCAATGTAGCCCACATCAAAAAGGGCTCCAAAGTGACCAAGGTTCGGAACTTGAAGGTGTTATTTGATGGGAAGTCGATAAATGAGTATCTGAGCTTCAATGAGGAGGATGAGATATTGTATATGGCAAAGTTGGAAATTGGCAAGGAGGTCCGTCCATGGCTAGCACAGTACCTGGCAATCCCAGGTACCGTCCCCGACTGGTTGACTGTTGGAGTCAAAATATTGAGAAGGAGCTTGAACTTTGAGGCGAGGGAATGGGAGACTTTTGTTTGCAGCCGGTTGGACCCTACCACTCATGACAACACCCTTCCTCTCCACCGGCTATGTTAGTGGCTTATATCATTGTAGAGTACCTTATCAACGTGGGGAATGTGATGTCCCGAATTATCACTATAGTGGGAGTGGAGCATGACCAGAACTACCCTTTTCCCAGCTTCCTCACAATGTACTTTCGGGACATGGAGGTGGACAAGAGACCCTATGATATCAAGGTCAAGGCGGTAGCCCATTTTCCTGGTATAGCATGAAGGGGGATGACAACCCCAAGAGCAAGAACTACAAAGCTCCTGCTTCTACCCCAACTGGCCAGTCTGAAGAGCCAGTTGTGGTAGAGTTCCCTGCTGAGCCTACCTCCACTCCTGCTGACATCCCTCCCGGACCTTCCACATCCACAGCTATTCCTGCTGGTCCATCCACATCATCGGGCTCGGAGATCCCATCTTCTCGGGCCCATCCTATTACTGCTCACCGTCTGAGCTAGGCACTTCTGAGTATCAACAACTGGATGCAGACTGCCTCATCCAAGTTGTCCATCTTGACTACCACTGTAGAGGCTCAGTCGGTTCCCCCAGCCCCACGGATGCCACAGTCGATAAAGGATGCGCTCAAGGAGATACTTGACAATCAGAAGAAGATCCTCGACACTCAGGTTGCGCTCTCAAAGGCAGTTGATTCACATAGCAAGACTCTCAAGGATCTTGCTCAGGAGCACAAAAAGTTGCGGAAGACACGGGCCTCCAAGGAGTTCGTGAAGGAGCTGCGTGCAGATGTTGACAGACTGAAGGCAGATCAGATGCCTTTAGACTTATTGCTCGAGGACCTAGTCCCAGCAACTCAGCCACAGCAGGAGCAGATACAGAGGCCTCCGAAGAGGAGGAGGATGATTCCTAAAGCTGATGATGCTATCATCCAGTTGGCGGACCCACTGGAGACTTCCTCCAATCAGCCACAAGATGTACCAGTTCCAGAGCCTGTCAAGGTCCAGGCTCAGGTCCCAGTAGCAGAGGAGCAGACCACTAGGAACCAATCTGAGGTTCCCGAGCACACAGGGCTTAGGGAGTCTTCTATATCCTTTTTCCTCTTATCATTTTGATGCTTTATTTAGACTAGTTGGCATTGGGGATAATGACAGCTTTAATTTGAGGGGGTAGGCCCTACATTTTGGATGACTGTATATATATTGATACATTTTTATGCTTTTTTGATTTTTCATCTTTGGTCTGTATATAATTTGATATTTAGTTACATTTATTGCACTTTTATTTTACTTTGGGTTTGTATATAAAGTTATGTTTCTTGTATATATTCATTCTACTTTTCGTAAAAAAAATTCGTTTTTAGCTTCTTATTTATGTTTGTAGCTTTTTGTTTTGTTTTGAACGTTTTCAATAAGCCTTTGGTTTTCTTAATGCCGCGGTTCTTTCCAAAGGTGGAGTATTGTGTGAACCAGGTGGCTCTTCCCAATGATGGATGGCATGACAACCTTCTTAAGAGTTTGAGTCCGTTTTTCTTTTTTGTTTTTAATAGTTAATAGTTAAGGGTGCCTCAAGCAAAGCTTCACTTGGGCCTAGCACATTTGCCTTTGATCTCATGGTCAAAAATAAATTGTTGTGGTTAGGATGGTGAAAGTCGTGACCATGAGACTCTTGTGTTGACCGATAATCATCAAGTGATTTTTCGGGACCATTGTGTGCTCAAATCGTATCTAAGATCGTTGTGGGCCCCCGACTCTATGTCTTTAGCAATCCCTTAGCTTGTGTGGTGAGTAATTAAATTGCACGTCCAAGTCCCGAGCCATTGGTCTAGAACTTGCCCTGAATGTTTGTTGAGGAGAAATCATCGGTGAATTTTTGACTTAAGGCATGATTATAGGCTCTCCTTGGTCCAAATGATAGTTTGAACAATTCCATAGCCTACCAATGATATGATCCCTAGTTAACCCTTTTGAGCCTTAGACCTTTTTCTTTCAAGAACCATGATACAAGCCTATACCCGTTCTAAAAGATATCCTCTCTTGGCACCCGATCTTTCCTTTAGCACATGGCAAAAGTATAAGTTTGGGGGAGGGGAGGGGGAAGAGACGAGGATGACAACAAAGTGGTAAAAAGGCACAAAAGTGAAGAAAGGGAAAGGTAATGAAAGAGAAGAAAAGTAAAAGACAAAACAAAAGAATGCTAAATGTGAAAAGGAATAAAAAGGGATTTAAGAAAAGCAAAGAATGAAAGGTGTGGAAGGTTGAGAAAGGAAAAAGAGGTTTGAAATTCATAAGATAGAGTGACAGTGTATCTTTCTAACCCCTTAGAAAGAAGTGAAATGACTTAAAGAGCCAAGAGAATATGTGTCAAATGAATCAAAAGAAGTGCTTAAGGGAAGATGGAACATACTTAGACCAAAACATGTCCTACCCTGAACCAAAAGCCTTTACAATATCTCCACAAAAGCCCTATATGATCTTGAGTTGAATGAAGCTTACATTAGTGGATACTCACATAAGGGGCAAGCATATGGTACATAGAGCCGGACTTGTGACTTTTTCTTGAGAGAGATGAGTGAATTTTCACTAACCTCGTTTTGTGTGCCAATATTCTAAAGGTAAGGTTTGCTTAGGGAGAGTTGAGGATGTGTGAGTTTGGGTTCCACAATGACCAAAGTAATTGAGAGAGTTCTTTGATGTGTTGAGACAACTCTTGAAGCTCTTGTGTCGCACTTGATCCATGGTTTTTCAAAGGTTAAATGTTGTTAATGACTCATTTTGTATTTAGGGCAATTGTTAGTCCCAATTGATGCTAATTGCGGTTGCTTTAGGACAACTGAAAATTTCTTGACTTTTCCCTTAAGGGGTGGGTCTTATTTTGTTTGCTTGAGTACAAGCAAAAGCTTAAGTTTGGGGGAGTTGATAACTAGGGATTTTGACGCATTTTATACTCCTTCTTGCTTACGCTTTGATTATAAATTCATACAAAATAGTTCCAAAAGGCTCACAAGTTGTGCTTGATTGCAGGTTTGATCCACAAAGTGACTACAATGTCAAAGATCAGCTCAAAAGGAGTGAAACCTGCACAAGTACTGAAGACAAGACAAACTCAGGAAAAACAGGCCCAGTGCGACCGCACTACACTTTGTGCGGTTCGCACTAAGGAGATTCAGAGAGCTGGTATTTCAGGCATTAAGGCAGTGCGGCCGCAGAAGGTTTTGTGCGGTCCGCACTGAAGGCAATGCGGCCGCACTACCATTTTGTGCGGTCCGTAGAGCCAAGATTCAGAGAGATGCCAAGTTCAAGGATTGAAGCCTGTGCGGTCCGCAGAGCCAAGATTCAGAGAGATGCCAAGTTCAAGGATTGAAGCCTGTGCGATCCGCGATCAATTCTATGCGGACCGCGCTAAAAGCTTCCGCGGCCGCAGTCCATTTTGTGCGGCTTGCGGAGCCTGGGTTCAGAGAGTCAAGTTTTCAAGTTCAAGAGCCTAATGCTGGCGCACACCATTTTGTGCGGTCCGCACTAACCCCGCCGAGGCATTTTTGTCCAATTTTTTCAACTTAGTATAAATAGAATCTTTTTCCAGTTTTAGGGCATCAGACATTTTAGAATAGTTGTTGCGCTCGTGGGAACGTATCTTGTAGCCATTTTTGGCATTTTTACTTACTTTTTATCATTGAATTTTTGTATTTAGCTTAGCAATTAATTAATATGTGTTCATCTTCAACTATTTCTCTGTTTTTCTCTTCAAGTATGAGTACCTAAACCCATTAGCTAGGGTTGTAGCTCAACCCTAGTGTAGGTAATTAATGGGTGTTGCAATTTAGGGCTATATTGACTATGGATTTTTGCTATTTGGGTCAATTTCATGATTTAATTACTGAATTAGTGGTAGCAAACACTAGTTTGTGCTAAGTAGACTTGAGCTCTTCTTGAGAAAGAGAGCCTAAGTCTCTAAAATTGATCCAACAAGGAATTGGGATGGACTCAAGAGAATTGATAATCCCAATTAAAGGGTTAAAACCTCGAGAGAGAGTAATACCCGACTTAAACCCTAATTGCTTGAGCAAATATGCATACACGATTGGTCTTGAGAAAGTCAATTGGACAAAATCATTCTTTCTACCGAAAGGTGTGAGAGTGGGTAATATCGAGCAACGGTTATAACATATTCCCCAATCATGTCAATCATGTCTTACATGAAATTACTCGTCAATTGGCCACCTAGGTTAAAGTCACTACCCTCGTGCCTTTTAGAATATTTGAACACTTGTAGCATTTTACTCTTAGCTTAATCTAGTTGCAATTATAATTTGTAGTTTGATAATAGTAGAATTATAAAGAAAATCCAAAAATGAATAGAAGTGCAATTTGGAACCAATACGCAATCCCAACCTAAATAGATACTCAACTCCCTTTCTAGCTCTCTATGGAAATCGATCCCGGCCCAAAATCGGATAAAAGCTATTGCGACCCTCTCTCGTTACTTTTAATGGTGCGGAGTAGGCTGCGATCAACCATTCATGTAAGAGCCCCAAAAAAGGTTTTCTTTTACAGTAGCAAAAGATCACAAAAAAAGGCCAATACTTCCTGCAGTTGGAAAGCATAAATTAGCACGTAAGGAAGGCAAGAAATAAATAAATCGAACTACATTATATTATAATTATATTGATTCAGAAGTCAGAGGAAAGAAGAGAATCTCAACTATAAATACTTAAAAAGGCTCACCTTTACACTTTTTTTGATGGTGTTGGTGGTTGTAGTTTCAGCCCTGCGCTTGAATATTTAGAGATCACATCTGCTGCTTCCATTTCTATTTCTATCTCATTTCTATTTCTCTCTCATCTGTACTTAGAGGCTTTACCTTTTTTTTGGCTTCTCTCGCTAATTTTTGGTGCAAAGATATGTTCCTTTTCTACGTAGGACAGAACTGATAGACTTGTACGCACAAAGTCAGAACTTTTCCAAGATGATTTTCTTAATTGGATTCGAAAGATTCTGTCTGAAAATATGTCCAGGACATGGTTAATGGACAAGAGTTGTCTCTGTAAATGAAGAAAGTCGATTTTCAGATCTAAAGTGCCAAATAAAACAAAGCTGAACAAAAGTAATATAAAAGTACATATAGATAATATATTGCGTGCAAAAAGGATTCAATAATGACTCATATAACTTCGCTAGAAATGATAGACTAAGAACATGTATAAAGTGCAGTAATAGAAATAAATAATTTGTATAAGTTTATACCTTGACACAAGTTGTGTCAAATATGTCTTCTGCTGTCATTGAGAGCATCTTTTCAGTGACATCACCGAAAATCATTGCAGTTGTTGAACCGCTACCATCAATAAGATCAATCTGGCACATACACCTGCAACCAAAGATGGTTTACATGTTGCAAAGATTTATTAATTCAGATGTAGGTATAAATTCTTGCAATAACTTGGAAGTTGTTATGTCCTGTTTATCAGATACAACTAAAATGGAAGAGTTTGATGCTCCTTTTAACTGTTGATTTACAGGTGACTAAAATTTATTATTCAAAAGAAATATACTTTCTTTATTTCTTACATTAAGTTTTCTGGAATTTGATTATGTAGTCAAGGGGTAGAAGGGAGAAGTTCAGTTGTTAATCAAATATGTGCACTTTATTATCAGCAACCAGTTCTGCTAATTGTGTGGTACGGAGCTACAACACTAAGTAATTGACAAATTATTTTAACTTCTACAAAGAAAATTATATGGCAAAGCGATAATACCGAGGAACTAAAGTTGCCCGTCGTTTACACTTGGTGCAGTCAAAATCTCTTCTTTCCTTAGTTCGCAACTTCTGTTTGCAACCCGAGCATTCAAGCACACAGAACTTTTGCAACTCACTTGATATTGATATTTCGGCCTCAACATAAAAAATCCCAGTCTGGCAGCAAAAAGAAAATCACATGTTCATCCAGGTTTTATAAGTAAACGAACACACATTTAGATATCTACACACTCACAGAAGTTTGTGACTGAATTTCTGCAATTGGAATAATTTGTTGTTGGGTAGGAATTATCATGAGAGAGGTGGATGACCTTGGCACAACCTGTGAGCATGTCTTTGTTTGCTTTTGCCCTATCATCACAATATATAGGAAATTCAATACGTTGTACACGTATATAATGAAGTCAGAGAATAACACAAAAAATCCTATACCACTTGATCAACTCCAATGCTTGTGGATAAGCAGGATCAATTTGTATTGTTGAGTTGAATCTGGTTTGCAATGATAAACCTGTATATAAAGTATTTGTGTAACTTTGTTTTCTTTTAAAATAAATGAGAATATATATATATATATATATATATATATATATATATATATAAAGGGAGATATTTGGGCACACTGATACCGTTATAGGGAGATATTCCGATACTTCTCCCAAGGATTACTGGATATCTTTCATCGTAGTTCACTTTCGACTCGATTTTCTGTTGGATTTTGGTTCCTTCAACTTCTGAGAAGTCCTCCCATAAGGTTAGAAGAAGTCGTTTTTTCCTGATAAATGCAGAATATAATCTGTTATAAGGATACATGTACGTTTTTGAAAAGTCAAAACTGCAATTAGCCGTAATATGGTGTACTTACTGATTGTCGGTGACAATAATCTCGCGACACCTATTTGGACCTCGACCTGCATATTTTGGAAGGCCACAATGGACAACGACTGCTAGTATATCTGCTAATATAAGTTTTTTTCAAAGAATATTTTTGAAAAAAAAAATAAGTATAATGAGGTGTGTATATCAATATTTTTGAAAAAAATGAAGTATAATGAGGTGTGTATATTATATAAAATCGTATATGTTTCTTCAACTAATGTTCTTTGTCAAGCACCCAATAAAATTTATGTAAGGGTCTTCCATACTGTGTAGATGAAACTTTAACTCTTGCAGTGGAGATGAGATATGTGTGGAAGAGCTTAAGCTTGTCTGCATAATATTGAATGTCATCTCCCCACACGACTCCTCTAATTTGTTGTTCCTGTAAAGCGTCAACTTGTCGTAGCAGCAGCTAGATTATATTATAATTATAAGAAATTGATTATATTATATTATATTGTATTATATAAGGGATAGACAAAATTACCTCTTCATCTTCTAAAAATCAGATTCTGAAATCCAAATTTTTTCTCACAATTTGGACTTTACATGTCCAATCCGGTGTGTCAGGTGTTACTTGATCGATATTTCCTCTTAATGCCATGATATCTTGGTAACAAAGACAAAATTCACCAGAAAATCATAAGAATTGCAAAAATGTGGAACTTCAACTAAAATATTTAACAAACACTTTTCTTTAAGCAAACTAAAACTCTCTCCTTTTCCGCTACTTTTATGTAATTTAAGTGGGAGGTAGGCAATTTCACTATGGAGTTTAGTCCAACCAATCTCAAGATTGGAAGTTGTTGTACAGAGCAAATAATCCTATGCAAAAGGGAAGCACATAATAGAAACTCTTAAAAAGTCAAAGCGATAAAGGAAATTAGCAACAAAGACAATGAGTCCAGCAGAATGAATACTGTGCAATAACTGTATGGGTTTTTTCAACTTTTCGATGGAAAATAATCTACAAGTTCAACCAACTTCATTACAGGAAAAATCAGAATAGTAGAAAATATCGTAAAGTCCCAAAAACTCTTTAAAAGGATCGGTTCAAAGACCAAGAGCTACTGAAATCCTAATTTCTTCTAAAACCCTCCCCAAAAAGGAAAACAGTAGAGAGAAGCAACCAACAAAGATGAAAAGTAAGAAAAAGAGATGGGACAAATTACGAACGAGGCAACACTATACACTACACTACACTCAGACGGCCACAATAATATTTTCCTGTTCCTTGAGTGCGTAAATTAGAAAGAAAGAAGATAACCATTATACGTGTGAGAATTCTCCTAAAAAATGAGGTAACAACTCTCACATAGTACAAACATTAAAAGAATCAGAACCAAAATAAAATTAACAACAAAGACAGTAAGCTCATTAGAATCACACATACAACAACTTCTATGTACATGTGCTTTCAACTTCTCAATGGCAAATAATCCACAACTTTAACCAATTTTATTACTGGAATATTTGGATATGAATGCAAGAAAAAAGAATAATAAAAGAATCAAACAAACATCAGGAAACCTGAAAAGTCCTAAGACGCTTCAAAAACATCAGTTCAAAGATCAAAAACTATCAAATTCCAAAATTATGCCCCAAATAAAAAAGAATAGTTGCGAGAAGCAGCCAACAGAGACGAAAAGTGGAAAAAAATAAGTGACAGGAAGAAAAAAGAGAAATAAAATAAACAATTAAGATCAAGTAGTAAGGGAAATTAGTATTACACCCTTTTGCAAGCAGGAATTTGGCCATTTTAAATGCGAAAAAGTTTATTTGAGCTTCATTCACGAATTAGAATCTTGTAACCATGCATGAGTAAATCAAACCACATGCAAGTAGAGAATCCGACAATAAATTACCACAAAAAAAAAAATCTAACATATACATACCAAAAACCCGAAAATAGTAAATACCCAACAAATTGTGACTACAAAAATATGAAATAAAGAAAGAAAGAAACTGTGAAAATCTGCTTTCTTGAGAACGAACTTTTAGCTTCATAAACAAAAATCACAATATGTAAGCCGAAAAGGTAAAGAGAAATCAGACCGCCATCACATACCATCATAGAATCTGAGACTGAAAGGGTGAAGAAGAAAATAGAAATTTTACCACATCAATAGAAACACCATAAAGATCAAAACTGAAAAGTAACAAAGAAAAAGAAGGTTGAGAAACTCACCGGAAGAGAACTTTGAAAAAATCAAAGAAGAAAGAGCGGTTAATATATTCCAGAAGAGACTCCAATTGTTTTCTTTGTATTCTATTCTATTCTATTCTATATTATATATTATATATTATTATTAGAAATTAGAAAAGATAGTATATGAAGAGCCTACACGTGGTTTGCTAGTAAAGAGAATTAGATATACGTGTTAAATGGGCAATTCAATAGGCCTGTAAAGGGCACGAAATCAGAAGCCACTAAATAAACATACATTAATGCTACATTAGCTTTTTGTCAGCTTTTTGTATAGAAGCATACTGTAATGTGGGTCCTTTGAAAATAATATATATATATTGGACCTCACCAGATAGGTTGTCATAATTGTTGCATAATAATCCAAGATTAGGTCCTTTGAAAGTTTGACAAATTCCATAGAAACAAAAATTACACTATAAGTAACTACGAAATGATGAATAATCACATAAGATAATAGTAATCAAACAAGAAAAAACAAATACATATCATAAGATTTCATGTGTTTACTAAGTTGATCCACCTGATGCATAGCTAGACTAAAAGGAACTTTATTGGGTTTAACCTTACTAGTCTACTTGCTAAGAGTCACAAGTTGGATTTGCACCGAGAATTAATAACGTGGATTGGGCCGTACACGAAGTATCGAAAGTTCAATATCGAGAACCGTACCGAAATATTGAACTTTTGAAAAAATTATACCGAATTAATACTGAAGAATCGAAGAACCAATACCGAAATATCAAATTAATTCGGTTCGATTTGGTTTTTCAGTTTTTCAGATTTTATGTCCACCCCTAGCTGGAGTGATGAAGACAGCTCAGAATATGAGGAAATAGCAAACTTGTGCTTTATAACTATTTTAGAAAATGATATGAAAAAAAACTCTAACTGCTAGACTGATGAAGACACATCAGATGATGAAAGCAAAGAATTGGAAACTATTTCATGGAACGAGGTGAAACAAGCGAGGTAAGATCCTATGACTGTGATGGTATAATGAATTACATGATATTCTTGATCTCACCCTAAAGGGTCTCAAAAGATGTTGAATGGATTGAAAAGAATCAATAGGGAAAAGAAAGACTAGGAACTCAAACTTGAAGTATGTGAAATAAAAAAAGATGTACTTCAAGATGAGGTTTAGGAATCACAAATGCAACTAAATGGCATGTGCAAGTCCAACAGTCACAATTCTGTCAAGTCTAATCAGGCGACTTACAAGTCAAGTAGAAAAGGGTCGGCTAGAACTAAGTCCACAAGTACTAATACAAGTGATAAATCAAAAATCGGATCAACCACTATGTCATTACTGTAACAAGGTTGGACATAAATATTCCTTTTGTAGATTTCATAAGTCTAATGTTTTAGGATGGATTTAGAAACCCAAAGATAAACTTGATTCCAGTAGAACTAACCATCAAGGACCCAAGCAAGCTTGGGTACCTAAAAGAAAGTAATAATTCTATTTTGCAGGAACACCACAGAAAGAGTCGCAAAGGAAAATGGTACTTAGACAGTATGTGTTCTAGTCACATGACATGTGACAAAAATCTGTTCAAAGAAGTTACAAAGATAAATGGAGGACGTGTCAAATTTGGTGATGATTCAAAAGGAAAAATAGTTGGCACCGGCACAGTTTCATTCAACAACAATTGCGATATTAATGAAGTACACATTGTAGATGGACTTAACTATAATATCTTGAGTATAACGCAGCTATGTGATTCAGGGTACGAAGTCAAATTCAAGAAAATAGGATGTGACATTGAAGATAAGTCAGGTAAAACAATACTTCCACGGAAAAGGTATGGAAATATTTACATTCTTGATGGCATTGAAAATTCAGATAGTCACACCTGCTTAGCGTCTATATCTGATGATCCATGGTTGTGACATAAAAACTTGATCATGGAAGCATGCATCTATGGAGAAACTCTCTAAGAATGATTTAGTCATTGGACTTCCCAAACTCAATTATTCTAGAAATCATGTATGTGATGCATATCAGATTGGTAAACAAACCAGAAACTCTTTCAAAAACAAAGACATTGTGTCTACGACCAAGCCCTTACAATTGCTTCATATGGACTTATTTGGACCAACTAGAACTGCTAGCATTGGAGATAAACAATATGCTTTTTTTATTGTTAATGACTACTCACATTTTACGTGAGTGATCTTCCCATCTCATAAAGATGAAGCTTTGAAAAATTTTGAGATTTTCTATAAAAGAGTTGAAAGAGAAAAAGTGTATCTCATCACAACCGTCCAAAGTAACCATGGAGGAGAATTCAAAAGCAGAGCCTTTGAAGATTTCTGCAATGATCAAGGATATACCCACAACTTTCAGCTCCAAGATCACCTCAACAGAATAGAGTAATTGAGCAGAAAAATCGAACTCTACAAGATATGGCCAAAACAATGATATTAGAATATTCCCCACCAAATCACTTTTGAGCAGAAGCAGTAAGCACAACCTGCCACTGTCACGATCCAAAATCCACTAATGATCATGATACCGCCTAACACTGTCGTCAAGCAAACCAACAGTGAATGATTAACTTAATTACTCATTTTAGTATTTTTAAAATCATAATTTTCGTTAATTAAATAGAGAAATAGAATTTACAGGGTAAATGATAATATTTACACGAACTACAATAATGAACCACCCTTAGGAACCTCCAAAACCCGGTCTCACAAGTGCATGAGCATCAACTAGGAAATATAATAAAATACAACATCTGTCTAGAATACAAATTAGACAGGAGAACATAAATAACTCTGATGGAGACTTTGCAAGTTGCGGATCGTAACATGAAATGCAGCTTACGATAAGTCCCCGCAACATCCACGCCTCTACGCCCAAAAGACCATCGCACATATATGTACCTGCACAAAAATGTACAGCAAGTGTAGCATGAGTACGTAAATCAATATGTACCTAGTAAGTATTCAGCCTAACCCTAGAGAAGTAGTGACGAGGGATCGACATCAATACTTACTAGTGGTCCAACAAGACTGATACAGTAAGAGGTAAACAGATATGCGCAAGAGTAAATAAACGAAATAAATTAGTATAAATACGTAGTGAAATCCTCCTCTCAACAATAAACACAAACTCTCAATTAGTAGTCACCTCATCCATCGGATGTGTATGTGTGTGTACACACGCACACACACACACACATACACACACACACACACACACACACACATATATATATATATATATATATATATATATATAATGGATCTCACTAGATAGGTTATCATAATTCAAATCAGGAAAACTCCCAGATACACTGATTTTTAGACAAATGATATGCACGTTTCACATAGAAGTATTTTATAGAAATGTCAAGGCGTACGGCCCGATCCCATAATAATCTGTTATATACCCACAAATATATCTATTATATTGCTGAGGCAAACGGCCCGCTCCCATGAGAGTGTGGTACATACTCTTACCGAGGCGAACGGCCCGATCCCATAAGACGTGCGCACTGCTGAGAGTCGAACGGAATCTATCCTGTCGAGGCAAACAGACCGATCCCATTAGAATAACAAGCTTCGACGGGTCCTTGACCCTACTCATGAAAGGATATGTGAGTGATAAGGAGCATCGAGAAAACCTTTCGATGATAATGCATAACGTGGGAGAAATTTGTAATTTAAGTACAATTAGTCGCGGCTAATTATGAAGCTCGTCGAATCTCAACAAAAGCGAGTCTATTACTCTACACAAGTCTAGTCTCAAGTCGTAATGTAAAATAAAGGAATTTAATAGGAAGTCTACCTGGACATTAACATGAATTTAGCTACAATGGACTCTCGTCACCTCCTGCGTATGTAGCCCCCGCAACAAGTAGCACATATCAAATGCATCACCTAAGGGTAGCTTCCCCCTCACAGAGTTAGATAGGAGACTTACCCCGCTTCACAACCAAATTCAAGATTCTAATAAACCTTTGCCTCGCGAATTGGTGTCCAAAATCTTCAAATCTAGTCACAAACAATTCAATATACTCAACATGAATCGTAGAAATTAATTCCATATGAAATTACTAATCTTCCGAATAAAAATCCAAAATTCATCTCAAAATTCAATAGCGGGACCCACGTCTCGAATCTCAAAAAACTCACAAAATCCGAACACCCATTCCAATACGAGTCCAACCATACAAAAATTATCAAATTTCGACATTGGATTGCCTTTCAAATCTTCATTTTATATTTTTGGAAAACTTTATAAAAAATCTGATTTTTCTTCCACTAATTTACGGATTCATGATGTAATTAAGTATGGAATTATAAAACATAATCAATACATGATAGGGAACACTTACCTCAACTTTTTACCTTGAAAATTTCTCAAAATCGCCCTTTCTCGAGCTCCAAATTATTAAAAATGGAAAATGGGACGAAGTCCCTTTTTCAGAACTTAAATCTGTTGCCCAGTAATTTACCATATGCGATCACAGTCAAACTCCTGCGATCGCGAAACACAAAAATTTTCCAGCATTTTCTTATTCTATGCGATCACGACCATTCTCCCACGATCGTGAAGAACAAATTTTTCCAACAACCTTCTCCAACTCTTCCGGATAGCCTCTAGTATAATGGTCAAAACTTTTTGTACAAAATTCCAAATAATAAATGGTTTAACTTTCTGAAAATTAGACACCAAGATCTACGATTTTCATTTTTTGGTCATCTACCAATTCCTTATAGATTTCAAGATATAAGCTGCCAAAGTCAGCCCTATGCAACACAAATTTCTTCTTCGCAATTTCTAAACATCCCGGACAGCCTGTAGAGTACCAACCATAACTTTTTGTACACAACTCCAAATGCCAAAGGGTTTAAATTTCTGAAAACTAGACACAAAGAGCTACAACTTTTATTTTTGAATCATCTCCAAATTTCTTATAAATTGCGAGATATAGGCTTCCAAAGTCGGGTCAGCGCAATAGAAAGTTTCCTCTACGCGATCGCGGAGTGTCTTCCGCGATCGTGAATCACTGGCCAATTTCTCCTATTTTACTCATCGCGGTCGTGGCCAATTC